CAACCCTGTCTGCTTTTCTCTTGTTTCAAGACAGTCCCCACACTGTATTTTATCTGCATTCACCTCTGGGGGGAATGCTCTGCAACCCTTGGGCCATGCTTTGGAGATTACTTAATTAGTTCAGTAGTGGTATTTTTAACCTGGAATTTGATGCTATATTGATACTTCAGACTGGGTTTTCTGCAGACATTTTAAAAATGGGATTTAGATACAAATATGAAAGTTTGTTTCAGCCACCTTTCGTCATTAGGAATTGGATATTGACTTTGATGTTATCATGACTGGGAAATTTGGGGTGATGATTTGTTTGTTGAGAAGTGACATGGAAAAGCTGGTTTCCATCTCTTACAGTGTAACTCTGGATCTGAGCGATCTTCAGTGCAACGGCTCATCCATGTCACTTGTTCATTTCACTGTGATAGGAAAATGTTTTCTTCTTGCTTTTCCAGGAAAATGGAATATTTGCATCCCAAGAAAGCTGGCATTCTCTTACCTTTTGTAAAGCTATTTCAACTAGCCACAGAAAATGGTTTCCCAAGAACTTCAAACAAGATATTCTGGGATGTGTTTACCACCATTTCCCCTGCCCCCAGCCTCTTTGCTTTTCATTAATTTCTTATTTGAGAAAAAGAAAATCTTCCCTTCTTGCATTTGTGTGTGCAATACCCTTCTCACCCTGTGGAGCTTCTCTAAGCCCACACTAACTTGTGTTTGTTGTGGCTTAAAACTGTCCAGTGATGTTTTTTTGGTCAATGATAAGCTAAGAAAAAAAATTTCAAACCAATGAAATTCTTCAGCACCTTCCCCCTTACTCCCACTCCTTTCTACAACAGGGACAGATAGACAAAATGCTTTATTTCTTCCTCCATCTCCAGTCTGTCTTGTATTTATTTTAAGGCAGAGCAGTGTAATCCCAGTTTATAAAACTAATGCAAGCAACAAGCTTTTGGTGGGAGAGAGACTGCTAGCATCTGTTGAAGTCACTCAAAGGCAGCCAGACTGCATCACTTGATTTCACAGGTTACATGCTTGAAGCAGTTTTCTTTCATTTTACTGTCCTGGCTGTCATCTCTTTGAAACTCGGTGGCACTCGGAAATGTGGTCTGTTGACTTCTTGTCTTTCTGTGACTGGAGATCTGCAGTGCAGCCTTTTTTCTATTGGGCTGGCCAGGCTGGTGTAGGATGACCTATTTCTTCCGAATAACTCCAGGGCTGAATAATCTGCAGTTCTCACTCTCCCCCTAACAGGTTTGCTGGCTGATCACCACTGCCAAGTGCTTCAGGACTTGGCAGTATGGGGAGCACTGTGAGACCTTTCCAGCTACTTCTGCCTGTAATTTAAGTCTGCCTAATCACGTTTCAGGTGTCCTTGCTAACCTTTCCTTCCATGGGCTTGTACTGAAACTTTAAAAGTGTTATTTTCTAGTCCTGTCTCAGCATTGCATTGTGCTGAATCAGCTGGTGTGCTCGGTCCCATGGGCAGCTTCTCTTGCACAGACAGGTTTTGCAAAGGATGGCAAGTTGAAAACCAGAGAGGAAATTTCTGGCAGCTTCCTTGAGTGAAAAGGTGTGCTGGAGATGCCGTGAGTGGAATGTATGATGGCAGTCATGTTGGGTCTGTGATGGAGTTAGTGTGGGTCAAGCTTGCTTCTGAGGTGATTAGTTCCTCCACTTTCAGACTGTGAACATATGTCCTAGTGTACAGGAAATTTCTTGCTGTACTGGGGCCACAAGACACTCAGGTAAAATAGCAATCCCTTCAACCCAGGTATCTTTTGGTACTGGCGATAACGGTTTGAGGGTCCTTTATATTACTTCCCTGTGCAATTTTATTCCATTTTATTATTTAAACTTTGAGGTAGTGACAAAAAGGGTCAAAGATGATACAGAAGAGCCAGTGGCGAGAATGAAATTCCCATTGAGGTAAAGAGCAACAACCAGTGAAGCTGGCATAGAGATATGAAGCAAAGCTCCTCGGAAATGAGTCGTGTGAAGCAAAGCTAATTTTTAAGCTGATCTGAGTGGGTTTTGCTTCCTGGAATGGGTTTTGCTTGGGGTCACGGCTGCATATGGGAAACCAGAGGTAAAATCTGATCAGAGTGATGGTAAGAGAAGTGTCGGGCACGTTGATCAGCTGGCGGATGGTTGCGTAGTTTAAAATAAATTAGAATAGTGTATGTAGGACACAGGAAAACAGAGTAGAGGTAGAGTTAGTCTTGGCCTGAGGAACACCATTTGGCCAATACCCGTGAAAGATAGAGTACAGAAAGGCTTCAGGAAAAGTAGATTTAGGACTGAGATGGTGATCTGTAATTGAAGAATGAATTGGAAGGGGTTTGTTTTTAAACATGTCCTATTGGGCCTCTCGTTTCTTCACTTGCTGGCCTCTAAGCAACTGTTTTTTCTTAAACAGCAAAGTCGTGAGCTGTTTGCCCAAGGCTTGGATGTTACAAATTGAGTAGTAGAAGCCCGGTAAAGGAGGTGCTGGTGCCACAAGTTTGTTGCTGAGAGGGGTGAGGAGATAGTGTTTCTCTTTATAATTTGAGACTGATCCAACTGATTCTTCCTTGCTAAGTTCCTATTGCTGGCAGTAGGAAATATTCCTAAAAATTCTAGTTTATAGAACAAAGCGTAAATGTGTTACATTTTGTTGCACCTTGTGAATATGTTTCACCACAGGCTGTCCATTAGGCCAGGTAGAGAAATACTGAATGGTAACTGCCTGGGAAGTGAAGAGGCTTGTGGGAGGAGGTAATAAACTTGAGTCTATCCCTCTTACTGGTTTGTGATCCCTCTTACTGGTTTGCGTGGGTGTTAGCATAGGCACAACCAGATTTCTGTATTAAGACAAGTTATTTGTTTAACATAAAGCCTGAAAAAATAATTTGGACCTATCTATCCTCTTTACATACATTTTGTCCCCTCCAACCCAATATTCCCGGACAAAATGAGGATAGTTGTTGGGTTTTTTTTTTTCTGTGTTGTAAATAGTATTGCTTTGCCTGTGGGACCCCTTGGTTCATTCTTGGGCCCTCTGAACTGGTGCAGTAGGAAGGGCTGCAACCTGAGAGGGCAGCAAACTCTCTCTGTTTTATTTCCTGCTGCAGGCAGGGTAATGCCTTCCTCCTCCCCATCCCTTGCTAGCGCCCAGGAGCTGTGTGTATGGGAGTCTGCGTTTCCTCCACCTCCTCTCTCAGGTTGTCCTCTCCTTTCCATGCAACCTCCCAGGTGATGGTTGGGGCAGGCCTTACAGCAGCCCCCTCCCCAGTCCCCCATTTTGCAGACTTCATCGTGACTCAGAGGAATCGTGACGTTTATTTCCGGGAGTAGAAACATACGAACTTAATTTTTTTAAAAGAAAGAGTATGTATATAATTATATAGAAGAAAAAATGAAATACAGGTATTTAAACACCATTGGTAAATTCATGCATGTATATGGTGTCTCCCCCCACCCCACCCCGTTGGATGTGTAGCATCCAGGATACTAAATGACAAAAACCTCATTAAAATAACAGACAGGTCTATAACAGCCCCTGAGTGAGCAGGTGCTTCCTTCTCTGTATAAGACCAGCGTGTCCCATATTTCAAACCGTGTGTGTAAATAGCACGGGGGCGGCTGGGACTGTATTCGTATGGGTAACCCGCTGTAAAGCGTGGAGGGGAGATGCATGGGGCAGCAGCGTTAGGAATAAGCCATGTCCACTCCACATGTCGTACGTGCGCCCTAGGCACCAAGCAGGCAACTCTTTACCTGTGTTCTCCAACACCGCCCTTTTCCTTCACCCGTTTAAAAAACAAAACAAAACAATCCTTCCTGCTTTATTTATAAATGCGTGTTTTTATACTTTTGGCTTTAGGTAAAATAATCCTTTAAAATGTCTTTTTTTTTTTTTTAATTGTTTGCAAAAAATAATAAAAATCGTTTGTTGGGTTTTTTTGCACTGTGAGGCTCCCTCCGGGAGCTGTTTTTAACTCTGTATTCATTTGTACTCCGTGTCTTAAACTGTTTCAATAAAAATGTGATCATTTGTTACCGAGCTGCGCTTGAGCTGCGCGACCCGCTCGCGAACAGCGCCCGGGATTTCGTTTTCCGGGGGGGGAGCAGAAAGGGAGGCCGCGGCGGGGAAGGAGGAGGGAGGAGGCGGGCGGTGCCTCCTCCTCCGGG